GCGGGCACCAAGGGGCCCTCAAGGACCACATGGGGTGCCCTCAACGCCTCCTGAAAACAGCGACTCAGCAGTGGGCTAAGTTTGAAATTTTATTTTATTCTGTGACTCTTCTTTTTAATCATTTATAGAGCATTTCATCATAGTAATCATATAGGGCATTTTAGCATTTATAGAGATTTTAAAATTAGAATGTTTAAAGGAAAATTAGAAATGAAAAGTTTACAATAAAAATGTGTTTAATTTGGATAAAGTTTAGGTGAACGCTGACCCCTCTTGTTCATAGGTCAGTATTGGTAGCCCTTCCTATGATTCGATAGCCATGAAGTAGCCCTCAGCCTTGAAATGGTTGGTGACCCCTGATCTATACCTTTTCGGCAGCTCACACTAAGCAAGACACAAAAGGCCAGGAAGTTTAAGGAGCTCTCCAAACAAGTCAGGGTTGGATTAAAAAAAAAGATCTAAATCTTTGATCTTCTCCCAAGCACCATCAAATCCCACGGTCCCACAGCAAACCTGTCAAAGAGGGCACTAATCAGAGAGGCAGCACTGGGACCAAAGGTGACCCTGAAGGAGTTACAGAGTTTAGTAGCAGATACCAGAGTAGCTATCCCTAAAGCCACGATAAGGCGTAGACTCCACGCAGCCTGGCTTTAAAGTGGCCAGAAAAAAGCCTTTAATCACCGTTAAAAATAAGAGGGAATGTTTAAAGTTTGGTAAGAGAAATGCTGGTAACTTCCTTATGGAGGAAGGTGCTATGCTCAGATGAGAGTAAAACTTTACTTTTCAGCCATCAAGGAAAACTCTGTGACTTTGACAGGGTAAGCATAATAGGCATAAACTGTAACATAGTGGTGACAGAATCATGCTGTGGGGATGTTTTTAACCATTTCTTCCAATTTTTGTTCATAATCTGGAAATAAAGTGGTGAAATCTCTCAAATCATCCTTTCTAATTCTAGCTTGTAAGGAAACTGATATGGGGTGTGAAAACTTCAAGTTGCTGTGCATGGTCCAAGCTCAGACCTGTATTAGGAGAATTTTTTGGCAAGATTATGTTAATACATTTGGCAGACACATCAATCCAAACTTGGGATATATCAATGGATTCAAAGGTAAAGCCAACAACAAACAATCTGAAGGGAAGACCACCAGTCAGGTTCCATCAGAGGTAACAGGCATGACAGCACAGAGGGAATGGAGTGCAGGCAAAGGGAGAAATGCAAAAAAAAAAAAAAAAAAAAAAAGATGCTTGCGAAGTACATATTAGGAGATGTAGATTAGGTGTTTCTCTAAGATGGAAAGTGCCGACACTGTGTTAGTAGCAAGCAGCAGGTCATTCCATCAGCATGGAGTGAGATGTAATGAAAGTTTGGACTGTGTTAATCAAGATGCTAACAGATCTGCTCCCCTATTCTAACAGAGCCTTAATTAGTGAGCAAAAAGCTGAAAGTAAATCAGCTGGTGGATATGCAACATTGGTCGAGATAAATCCAAATGACTTGCAGTAGCACTCACATTAAACATTAAAGTAATTGCATGAGACATTTAAATGAAATTAATTAAAATGTTTGTGTTTGTTTGTTTCCCTCTCTTTCTACTAAAGAGTGTGAAAGACAAACGTTCCACTCACCCTTTTCTTATCGTTTACCTAGCGTAGCGAGTGTAGCATGAGAGTCTCATGACAGAGGAGTAGCAAGACAGATAAATGCTAGCTGAAATTTGAAGGGACAAAAAAAACAACAAACTATGGAACTAGTTTCAGTCTAATGCGATAGCTGCAGTGTGGGAGCATTTTGGATTCATACCAAATGGTAATAATTATGTTATTGCAACTATTTGTGGGACAACTTCTTGTCCAGAACAATGTGCTGCAGTGACACGCCTAATTTGTGGCTTGAGTTATAATGAAATTAGGGTTCTATAAAGTATTGACATAAGTAGCTAAACATCTATTGATTTAACACTTCTCAGGGTTTTTAGTTCAAATATTTTCGACTTGACAGGACTTTGTTTTGTTATATATCACCTTAAAAAGGAAATGCATAGGGGCTTGTTATAGTGACAGTGTAAAATGATGAAAAAGGGGCTTTCCAAAGCTCTGAATGAATAACAGTCAACCTTTGTGATTGCTCTGTGAATCTTCTTGTGAATACATTTTCCCCCCATGTATCAACATGTCTTGTTCTCACCTTGCACAGGTACGATATGGAGAAGCCGAATGCGGCTCCGTTTCGAGAGCCGGCATTCATGTAGTTCCCGACAAGAAGGATGATCTCCAGCAGCTTGGCAAAGGTCTCGCTTTTCCTGAGCTCCTCGCAGGCAGCTGTCACAGCCACCACATCTGGCTTGATGTTGTTCAGCTGCTCCTCAAACTGCAGCTTGAACAGGATGGCCTCAAGTCGTGGCATCAGACGCTTCACACTGGACATCTGGAGAAACCAGAGTATAGAGGATTAAAAGGTTCTTCTTTCTCAGGAGGTTACCAGCGTGTGAATGTTTTAACCCTGACTGAATTCATGTAGCCCTTTCTAGTTATGAAGACGGCTTTACACTAATCACTCACCAACACGCTCATATTCCTACACACCTCAAATTTTACAGTTTTAGAAAACTACTTTATCCATAGAACCAGTTGCTTCAGATGGGAATAACTTTAGTACCTTTCTTAAATAGTCTACAAGATAAGTTTATCTATATAGCATATTTTAGAGGCAAAACAATTCAATTGCATTAGGAAAAAAACAAAAAAGAAAAGTACATTGTAGTGGCATTAAGGCAACGCAAATAATTAAAAATAAAATAATCTTATCAAAAGAAAGATTTTTTTTTTAGTAACACAAAAATTAACCTTGAAACTTCAATACAAATATTTAGATTGCACATTAAAAGGCCACTCTAAAAAATATGTTTTTAATTGTGATTTAAGTAACAGACGGTTTCAGGGCTTTACAGTTTGTTGAGAGTTTATCCCTGATTAGTGAGAGATCTGGGTGGTAAATGCACAGACAAAAAATATGTATTTTTGTGCTAAGCCATCTAGTGTTTTATAGATCTATATAGATATTAGTAAAATCTATTCTATGGGATACAATGAATCACTGTGACAACTTGAGAGCTGGGATGATGTGCACCACTTTACTGCAGGCAGCAGCATTCAGGATCAACTGCAAATGCCTGATCGACCTTTCAGACAAACCCGTGAAGACACTGCTGCACTAATCAATTCTACCAAAGGTTAACACATTAATTAGTTTTACAATCTTTTTTGTTCTGGTCTGGCATATAAAGCTATCCACGGACACAAATAGGTCCCTCTCCTTAAAGTGGGATTCCAACCAGACCAGTACCAGAATGCTTTACAAGCACTAATGAAATGAAGTGATCAAACCAAACTGCTTGCCATGCCTTAGATATTTAAAACAAAGGATTATCAAAGGTCCTTTTTTATTTTAAGGACAAAAAACAAACAAATAAAATAAACAACAGCAAAAAAAAAAAAATCCCAACCAATTAAGAAAACTTGCCTGGCCTCCTCTGACATTATTCTGTAGTTAAATCAAAAAGCTGTAATTAATCTAAACGTGACTTTTAAATCTTAAAAAAAAGTGTTTTAAATTCAGAAATGTAAACAAACTGTTATTAAAGTCATATAAATTCCTATTTAAAACTAGGAAAACATCCAGCAACAATACTGTTGGATATTGTGATGACCGTATAGATAATTTAAAAATAAACAAAGGGAGGGGTCCCAATGAGGCCCATTGTCAGCAGTATTAACTCTGTGACAAACAATATTGCAAAACATCTTGCCACAATTTTGGCTCCGTTGGAAACACTTTATTTCTGGAGTCCAGTGTTTGAGACTCGCTCCATGTGAAACCATTGTTTCTTTTGATTTAACCTCTCTTTACCTGCATTCCCAAATCAGCAGCAATAAATAGTCAGGACACCGTTGGAACATGATGAAGACCTGGAAGAAAGGACCACTAAAACCTAAACAGATATATAACCTGTACTACCTCTGCCTATCAACCACATACTTTAAATACAGTGATAACATTTAGCGACAGACACATGGGTAAATCATGGGCTCCCCATTGTTACCAATATCAATATGGAGGAGTAGAGCACTCAGCACATACAGGGGAACACAACCAGCTAACTGGTTAAGAGACATAGTTGACACCAGGGTCAAAATCCAAACCCAGGAGGTTAAGGCATCACCAATCACATCAACTACGTGGACGGAAACATCAAGTTCAGTAGAGAGAAAGCAAAGAACAACAGGATGCCTTTTCTGGACTTTGCTGTGCAGGTTGAGGACAATGGAAGTTTTAATACTGAGGTTTACTGGAAATCTACACATACAGACCAATACCTTAATTTTGACTCACATAACACGCTGGAACATACATTTCTTTCTTTTTTTTATTATTTTCTTTTTTTTTTTTTTATCAGACCTCTGAGTTACAGGGTTGACAATATTCCCTTAACTACAGAGGAGAAACAAAAAGGAACTAAAACATGATAGGAAATCACTAGAAGCACGAGGTTATCTTAACTATTCGTTTGATAAGTTGGCCAAAGCCACTAGCAGGAAAAACAACACTGCATTAAACACAGAGGAGAAAGAGATGCAAAAACAATATGCAACTCCATATGTGTCAGGAATTTCTGAGAAACTCAGAGGGAGTTTTAGACTCAACAACACACTCAGACAGAACCTGGGGCAACCTAAAGACAGAAAACTAAAATATAAGCTGAGCAGTGCTGTGTATGCAATCCACGCATGGCACAGCATAGGAGAGCCAGTAGATCAGCGCTCCAATTAAAGATTGCTCTGGTGTGAGCCAACATAAGTGACAAAGACTCCTGGATAGGTTCAAAACATCTTCATAAAAAACCCGAAAGTCCGGTTACCTTCCAATTTAAGCCTGTTTGTGGGTAACCTGCTAAAAAGTTTTTTTTTTTTGTTTAAAAACTGATGCAAGTCATAAAAATGAAGCTCAAACCCAAATATTTTTTCTGACATTGAAAAGTAAATTTTGTTTATCTAAGGGCTCAATAAAACTGCTTTAATTGAATAAATTCACTTCTCTTTCAAGTTTTATGAGTGTTTATGGTTTCTTACCACCACTCCAAATTGTTCAGACTCAGCCAGATCATTGTATTCATCCTTCATCTCTGCAAGGGTTTCTAGCTGCCCAGGAGCAGGGAGCTGCTTTATCAGGTTCTACAAGACAGAATCAGCAAAACAACATTATATTCAGGAATGTTTGACATATCTGACTCAAAATAGACCAACACAGGGAGAAAATACAAAAGTAATTTAAGAATAAACGTGTATTTCTGGGCTTCAGAGGAAATGTAAGCCTTTATATAAACTTTTAAAAGACATATAGATCTATGAAAACAAAACAAAAGAAAAAAGAATCAAAAGCATATCTCTGGTACCTGAACCATGGACTCTGTAAGAATCTTCTCATTAACTTGTAAGATGGCATTCTTGATCTCTTCGTATGGAATGCGGAAGGATCCCAGGAAAATTGCTGCATGAAAACAAAAAGAAAATATTGCAGTTTAAACGCATAAAACATTTCAAGCCATCTGGTTTTGATTTGTTCTGTATAACCTACTTACAGAGGTTTTGTGATGACTTTGAATCAATGACTTTTAGCTCCTTCACCTTCTTCTTCGTTGGCTGTTTATCCTCTCCATTATTCTGATCTTTTTTAGCTGGAGATGAAAACAAAAGAAGGAAAAGAAGATGGCATTCAAACCCTTGTATTCATGTAAACAACTTTGAAGCTTGAATATATAGATATATATACATATTTTTCAAAGATAATAAATGATAAGAGGGATAAAATGTCTAGATGATGATTATAAGAAGTGACAGAAGGGACAGTGTTTGCTTCTTCGCTCTGTTCTAACTGTATGTCACTGAGGTGTTGGATTTTTATTGAGCATATCTGGGTAATACTAAACCAACAAGAAACAGCTTAAAAAACAGGTGTAACATTTCTTGTGAGCGCTGGATTTTTAAATATAATCAGACATCGTTTTGCTGTGGGGCATTAAGAGACTATAATAAATGTATTCATCCACACATTTACCAGGAAGACACAATTTAGATTATTTAGCTCTGACAAGGTCAGAGTTGTGTCTGTAAGGATGTGTCAGGGTGTGGGGGTGGATATAAACCGGATGAGAACGATTGTGAATGATGAGCAATCACATGGGCTTTGGTCATGAAACAATGTGCCGTTTCCAGGCATGCTAGGTCTAAGGTCAGCAAGGTTCTGGATGCCACAGCTTTCCTGCTGTTCCTGTCAGAAAATATCTAATCAGTCACTGCTGATTCATTTCAGGTCAATGTCACAAAACTGATAATGCCTCAAAAGTTTAAGGACCGGTAGGAAAAATGATTATGTTGTCCTTTACCTCTTTCCATGTCTTTAATGATAATAAACAAATCGCTAACTTCTTGTATATCTTTATCTAAATATGTGACTAATCAGCCTCTATGCAACCTTCTCCTCACAAGAACTTATAAAACAAAAAAACAACCTCAGATTGTTGGAACTAGACTAAAATGTCTTTCTTTACACTTTAAAATTTCTACAAACTTAAACTCAAACTAACCAGGTCAATATTCCACATGTTTAACTGTCTTGATGCTATGCTCAAACACAAACGTCCTTTTTTTACTCAGAGTACTTAGAAGGTGAACTTTTATTATGGATGGATGTCCCTTCTGGTCTCCATTTCTTCTATATTTATGTAAAGGCCTACCAAACCTCTCAATTTATACAGAAAAAAAAACTTTTTTTCACCTATTCCTTTTCCCATATAAGCCCTCATCCTGTTTTTTTGCCCAGCGTACAATTACTTTTGCTTTAATGGTGTGTTGAATAGGCCTGATTCAAACAGTGGGACTTTCACCACTCACTACAAAACCAGATAATTACCACAGCTTAACAACTCCTCCATTCATCTACTGATCTGTCTATAAGTCCACTCAAAGCGTACTGTGTCTCCAACAGAGACACTATTCAGTACAACAGTCTGTTAATTGCCAACACTCCCAATGAAGACGACATCTCTTCATTTAGTCAGATACAGAGGCAGTGGATTGGAGACGTTTTGCATCAGCAGCAGTTTCCCCTTCATGAAACTTATCCCACAGAAATGACAAACCTTTAAAAAACTAACAATTTTCATTGTTTATAAATATTTCACATTATGGAAAAACAACCATCTACTGATTATGTTTACTATATAGCTTTATTTTTGGCATCTAACATCCCTCATAGCCTCTGAAGTGCAGGAAACAAAGTCAGGAAGCAAACCAGTATAGACACAGGATAGGAAAATCCACACATCTGTGAGGAAATGACAATAACATCTATGCGCAAACAAAATCACTGCAGGCAGCAGCTGCGTGGTTAAAAAAAGCAATAATAAGATTCAACAAATCTAATCTTCAAATTAATCAGAGCGATATCATCCACAAATATCAGCTTCAGGAGGACATGACAAGGTAGAATAAGTTAGAAACATAATACAGGAGGAATTTACATTCAACTGTAAAAAAGCTTTAATAAATCTGTAGAAAAAGTGCACACACTACAGTATAGATATAGGATAGTGCATAATCTGTTTGAGCAGCACTGGTGACCTGGTGGAAGCATCATGTTAGTGGGTCAGTGTGTGTGGCTCATAGAGAGACAGACATAGAGCTGATGCATATGTGTTTATGTACGGCGCAGAGGCCCGGCTGCGCTGGAGCCAATAGAATCATTCAGAGACGTGCTGACATCACGGCTGATTCATAAAATGGGGTCTGGTGGGCAGATTTTAAAATGGCTGCTCTGTGGTTTCCACATGTACAGGAGCTTTTCATTTATGAGCCGATGGCACCTCTGGTGGTAGCTGGGGTGTACCGCTTCCTGCTACACTTAGTCATAGTGGGGGAGGAAAAAAGGAGATGACAGGAGCAGAACACATGTCTGACCAAACACACATACACACACACAGGAATCCCAGCACATGTTAAAAAATAAGATGAGATCAAAAGATAGAAATGTTTTTGTGGTCCGTTTTGTTTTATGATCAACAAAAGAAACTTATTATTATGAAAACAAACCAATATCCCTTTAACACAGACAGACATGCAATCCTCTTTTCCTGGAACCCCCCCTTCCCGACAGCTGCTTGGCACCATGTGTGTGTGTGTGTATGTGTGTGTGTGTGTCACGGTAGAAATTCTTCCATTGCTGACATCTGCTTTTAATTACACGGAGAGGCAAAAAAAGCTGAAAGTTGGATAAAGAGAGGGAAAAGAAGGGGGAGTTCAGCAGAATCACGAGGAGCCAAGTCATGATGGGGTTTTAGTCAATATGTAACAAAGTATCTGTGTGCGTCGTTTGTGTGTCTGTGTGTCCGTCTGCACAAAGAGGAGTCTGTTTATCAGTTAGTGAGCTCAGAGTGTGTCCTTCACCCCATCCCTGCTCCCTTTCCACTCTCATTCCCTCGCTCCTTAAAAGGAGAAACCGTGGAGTGAACAGGATGATGGGAAGTCAGGCTTAGTTGAAACAACATAAAAGAAAAAGAAAAGAAGGGAATGAAAGGAGACAAACAAAGACATTAAAAGAACATAAAGCACTTTCATATCTGACCAGGCTGGACCTAAAGCATCCACTCAAAGAAAAGATGCATCCCTCTTTCATAAAGCAAAGCTTTTTTCTCTTTCACTCCGGCTTTTTCAGTCTTTTCATGGAGCCTATTCATCCTCTCATCACCACTCCCTGTTTGTAGATCACTGTGGTTTATTTTTAACCCACTAAAAGCTTACAGATGATGTGTTTCATTGTATATTTGTAGCATCAAGAGTTTTTCATGGGCCCCCTTGTGGCACAATGGAAGAAAACCCTCGCATTAACTTTATATAACTCCAAACTCACTTTTTCCACTCTGCATTCCAGGTCTGGAGTCTGTCTAAACAGAAACTGAGAAGAGGGAGTTTTGTAGAAACATCAATATTCCTGAGCTGAAAAGCTCTTTGGGGAAAAAGAAAAGTTCTGAATTTGATCCAGAGCATAAAAACACATACATAACAGAGAATTATCTTTACTTCATGGAAACATAAAACTAACTCTACAGGGTTTTGACTTTAGAACTTTAAGAGAACTATACTATTATAACTGTGAGGAAAAAAAAACGAAGGAGGGGGGGTTCTTTGTCTAAACTATGGCAGACAGCGAGACAGCTGTTGCTCTAGTCCCTTTAAACTTTAAATGTCCATTCTGTCACTCTATATAGAAATGTTGGTGCTACGATGTAAGAGTTTGACAGAAGAAGAATAAAGGGGTTTCCAGGGTAACCTCAAGGCTGAAAGAGCCCCTTCATCCTGTTTTTCCACTGTGAAAGGAAATGAGGAGAAAAGATTGCCGGCTGTGTGTGTGTGCGTGCACATGTTCACGGACACGCCATTGTGTGAAAAGGAACAGATGGCAGGGTGGGGCAGCAGGGAGGGGGACTGGGCAGGATGTGGGAGGGCCAGGGGGCGCAGGGGGAGGGCATATGGGAGGGGCCAAGGCGTGCTCACTTGCGCTCCCCTGGTGCATGAAAAGTGTAACTGCAGCGGAACTTTGACAATATTTTATTTATATTTTTATAAAACGTAATTAAAACCTGAAAAATTTAATTTTTAGTTTCCATGGAAGCTAATTGTATCCTTGTTGATAGACTTAGCCTGGAAGATGGAGCAAAAACTCAATCTATCAATAAAGAAAAAAATAATTTAATTACCAAAACAGTATCTTTCCTCATTTTCTTAAGTCCTATTGAAGACAGAAGCGGTATTAAAAATAAAATAAAATTTTAATTGAAAACAGAATTTTTTTCTTGAAAAGTAAAAACAAACAAACACTGATTTATGATTTAAATGCCTGTTTTGTAAACCTGTCTGTAAAGTAAAACCAAGTTAAAGTTGCAACTAACCTTATACAGTAAAATAACTATAATCATAGTCTTCCAACAGTATTAGAAGTTATGTAATAAATAATAAGGATTATTATAATTATAAAAATAAATTTAAACTTCAATGGGTAAAAAAATGTGAAAATGGAGCAAAAAGAAAAAAATATATATATATAGATATTTCAATATCTATATATGACTAGATTGATGGTTATATTGCCTTCATTTTGATATAACTATTAACCCTTTATCATCTGTAGTATGCAGCAGACCAACCACCCCTAGCAGAGGAACAAGATCGACTCAGGTTCTCCAGCCCTAAGCTTATCAAGGGGGAAATAATAAAAAAAATAATAATTAACAAATTTTAATATTCACCAACTGTAAGTGCAGCCGAGCTGATAAGAAGAGCCGCGGACAGACACCAGACAATGGACATGGTCATCACATAGAAAAGATTCACGCCAAAAACACAATTTCGTCTGATAATACTAAAGAATACTGACAGTAGCAAATTTGATGTCTGTGTGCCTGCACTAGAAAAGAAGTATTGAAGTTAGACAAGAAAGAAGGAACAAGACAAATAGGTGTAAGAGCATTCAGATGGAAAATGAAAGTAACTTACAAAGATAGTGAATGATGCACTTATTATCTACTAGAAACACTTGACAGATTCCTGAAAATGTCTTCATGAAATTAAATACAAGTTCACCTTTTATGAGAATATGTGTTGGAGACAAACACTAGAAATC